CCTTCAAATGTTTTGTGTTTTTAATTTGTCTGTTAATGCTGGTGGGGCAAATAATTAACCTTTAGCTTCCTTTACCAAAAAGCTTTACACAGCGTAATGCAAAACAGTCTGTGACTATGTAATTTAGTACTGATTAGATGCAGCGACTGAAGAATGACAGACAAGCAAATTTCAGATTTACATCTCCATCATTATTTGCATTGCGAAGGTCGGGTCATTGTGGATGCTTCAAAGTGCAGGTTGCATTCTCGGTACACTGCAGCCTACGGTACTTGCACACATGAACACATAAAACCAGTGCAACATGACCATGTGACCCTTACAAAACTCAATTTTTATATGATCATGATGCCCAAATATGATTATAAGAAATAAACAAACGAATGCTGACATATGGCAAAAAGAAGAAATCACTGAGCCATTCTCTGAATTATGTAAAAGCCTTGTACATCTGTAAAGATGTTCTTATCATGGATGATTAGACCTGCTTACATTGAAGTTGGGTAGAGCAGAAAAGGGAATTATTTTACTATGCTGCAATAAGAATGACACTTATGTGAGAACTCCATGACAAAACACAAAATATTACACTGAATTTCTTTTGTTTTAGAATTAGTGCATCTTCGCTGGACTTTCACAAATGAGGGGGAACCCATTAGTCCCAAGCAGTGGAAGACACCATAGGCCACATTCACACTGCAATCGTCTGCAGATTCCAGCTAGTCACAGGCCTAAATTGATCCACATGCATAAAAGATTCAACCACAGTCTGCTGTTGGTCAGACGTAGACGTGGTGCCAGTGTTTACAGTTTCGTTCATCAGTTGATAGACAGTGTATTACTTCACAGATGGGAATGAGGACAAAGAAAGAGAGACAGATTTTTAATTTTTTGGCCATTTGTGGAACAATGGCTGCTACTGTCGTACGAAGGTGTGGATGAGGAGCATCTCTGAAACAAACAAAAAAAAAAAAACAACAGTTCCCAGGGTTGCATTTAACTACATCTTGTCAATGCATCTTCGAATAACTCCCCCAGAGAGATGCACAGCACAGACAAGTGCCGTAAAAGTGGCATGAATTCCATCATGAATGTTCAGACTAAGGTCACAAAAATCAGACTAGTAACTGTTTTATGATCATATATGAAAGCAGCCCAAATCAGAAGATCTGATTCCATGTGACTTGTGCAGGTTATGCTGTTCTGTAATAAAACTGATCAGTCACACGGTAGCAAGGGAAAAAAAGCAAAAAATAAATTTAGGCCAGTTTTGCTTGGAGTCTGAATACAGCCTGAAAGGAGAGAGACTGATTATAGTCAAGCTGTACGGACCTGCAGAGAAAAAGTGTGTGGGTTTGGCAGGTGTAACTTGTACTGGCAGGATTTATCAAAACAGACAGACTGCAGATTAAAATGATAAGAAACTGTGGGAAACTTGTTGAGCTTATTTTTTTTTAACTATTTGCATATACAATGTTCTTTGTATTAGTCAAAAACAAGCTTAGCCGAACTCATCTTGGTGTAACTTTGAAAGAATCAAATTTAAGTGAGTTTGTAAATTGCAATATATCTCTATCCTGCAGTACTTTTCTTTGTTTGGATTTTTTATTCACTATCTCACATGCTAACTTGCCTAAGAATTCCAGGAAATTCATAATCATAGCCGATGTTGTGTGTCTAATGAAATAGCTTTAGAGGCAATAAAGCTGTGACCAGCAGAAAGTATAACAGCAACATTTTTTTTTTCCAATTCATTTGCTAAAACTGCAGAATCAAAACCAAGTCTTCATACAGAGATGTAATAAATTATATTGCAGGGACTTGTTTTTGTTCCCTAAAGGGAGGCGGGTCCCCACAAAGTGACTGTGCAAACAGTCCCCACAACATACGTAAAAGCAGCAGGCACACACACCCTCATTACCAGCTGACAAAGACACTAAGTGATTTGACCCGTACTCACTCCACATGCAGCACACTCCTCATCAGTGTTTTTCAATGGTGGCTGCTTATATTAACCAGTATTGATTGAGGTGTTGGGGTTTGTGGAAGGTGTAATGTTTATTGATTGTGGTGCTGGGCTCAGGTTAAGGGTAAGGTCAATCTTTTCAATCACTCCTGAGAATTTCTACCAGTGCTGGGGAAGAAACCCCCCCCCCCAATCAATACCTCATTAATGTGTGTCCTCACACAACAGTAAGGGCAAAGAAGACAAAGGTCATTTTCTGCTGGAGGATCAGCCTCCTAATGAACTTTGCTCCTATGTGACAGAGATCACATGCTCACATGTGTGCTGTCTGAAAACCTGATTTGTAAGAACAGTAAAAGCTGATAAATGCTCACTGAGTGTCTAAATAGTTAGTCTTTACATGCAATTAGCATGAAGCATCAAAAGTTCAAACAAGTAATCTTCGTCTTTGGGTACAATATATGTGCACAACCCTGAATAGGTTTGTATAAATAAGAATAGATAGAAACAACACAATGAAACAAGTAGGGGTCCTCGGACCCTAACAAGTGTTGCAGTGAATATTTATTCCTTTTTCAACTTATCTCAAACTAACTACATTCTTCTAAGTAGTTAGAGAGTATGTAGTGTTCTTTTTCAAAGTTAAAATCACCATTGTCATATCAAATTAGATGCTATAATTATTCAAGTTCTTGTTACTTCTGCTTTTGCGTTATGTGTTCAGTGACAGCGTAAGAGTAGAAAGGAGTTGACTTTTGTCCTCAGGCAAAAAATGATTTTCACTAATTTGTTCGTAATCATAAGCACATAATTAGATATCATTAGACAAATGATGCATAATTGTCCTGCTTTTTATGAACACTGTCAGTTGTGTGATTTACAGATGGGTGACAAATTAAAGGAAAAATCAACAGAAAGAGTTTTACAAGGTGTCGGCCACCGTGTGCCATGAGAAGAGCTCCAAACCATCGTGGCACTGATTCTACAAGTCTCTGCTGGAGCTACTAGATGGAACATTATCATGTTAGAATCACTCAATCAGGCTGATATTTCTGTGTTTATGGTTTAATTATTTTGTGTTTGGTGCTTAACACTTAGCTAAACATTCTTTATTGGGGGTAATATCGTTTGATGCAGTTTTGCTACCCCTGTGTCATTGTTGACACGTTTCCTTCATTATTATGTCTTTCAGATTATCCTTAAATCCCACATTACAGGTCTGCATCCAGCCACAGTGTCCTGAGCTTGCAGGATGGTACAAAATGTGCTTATAGACATCTTTTTCTTCTGTCTTTGTTTGAGACCAGACTTAATATTCTTGAACATTTGCATAAGACTGCTTGGACAGCAGAAAGAAGAAGTAGAATCCAATTTATTAGCGTGATTGCAAACTCATGCTTCAGCTGTACGTCCTATTTATTTATACTCTCCGGTACGGTTGTGGCTGTGTTCAAAGGCGGCACATTACCTGTTTCCTGTCGAGCGCTGCTGACACAGAGAAATTGTTAGAACAATAAGACCAGTGATCCTCTTCAAGGACAAACAGCTCATAGACTAAAGTATTTCTCAGGGGAATGTAATGACCAGCGCTATTCCATTCTTTGTGCCCCTGTTGTGCTGTCAAGATCAACATTGCAGATGTAATCGTATTCACTTTCAGATGCGCGCTCATTACTGCCTCGTATTCTGGATGAAGGGTGTCTTAATTGTCCAGATTGAATTTTACTGATAGTTACATCACTGCACAGCTGGAAGCATTCTGTCTCCTTACAGAGAAGAATATATATCGCTTGTATGAATGATAATAGGCTTGATTTATAACAGGTGAGATTTTCTTCGGCTTCCTTCAGGGTGAAAAGCTGCATCACCTCAAATTGTTTTAGCAGTGCTGTAACTAGTCCGGTGGAAACATGAATGGTTACAGCTTCGGCATTTGGCACGTGCCTGGCATCATTATGATGAGTCAGCTTTAATTAATCTGGGACCAATGTCAACACTTAACTGCACCATCTCTGCCAGCTTTCTGAGCCCCAGGTGAAGTTCAACAAAGGAATTTTCTTGTTAATATGCCAGTACATAATTTGAGTGAAGGATGCACATTTAAAAGCACACCGATGTGTGTGCAGAATAGTGCTTTGCAATTAGTGCAGCATTTTTTTTTTTTACCCAATAGCCTCAGAAATAATAAAAATCAAAAAACAAAATCTACAAGTAGTTTTGGTGCAACATGTGTGAACAGAGGGTAGATTGATACAGCATGTGGTGGTAAACCTACAGAAAGGATTTACAATCTCCGCAAATGTACTCTTCCTACTTTCTCTGTATGTGTCATTAGACCACAGATCCAGTTATACTTCACCTGGCCACCAGGTGTTCTCTTCTGAAGAATTTCTTAACGAAGATGACTCTCATTTTACCTACTATCCACACTTGCAGTCAACTAATGCTTGAAATGCAGTTGTCGGGTTGCTAAAGCGTCCCTCACCACTTTTCTGCAGCTTTTCTAGAACCCATCGTACATTGGCATTCTCCTTTGCTGCCATTTAAGGAGATTCTGCTGGAGCCCAGAGCACTGGGTCACAAGGGAGTTTAAATAGGGTCAAAAGTTACTAAAGACACTGGAGCCCCTATGACGAAGGGAAGATGAGAAGGCGATGCAGTAAAACCCATGTGATGCCCCTTTGCCTGTAACTGTGTGCTCATCTGCTCTGTATAGTACAAAAGGGATAGAAATGTCCTCTCTCCCCTGATATCTGAACTGATTCAAGTCAGAGTTTGTGGGATTAATTAGTGATTGTTTGTATATTTTTCCAGTCTTTGTGGGATCAATGAATCTTTGATAAACCATGACTTTGATATTTGCTAGAAATGTGAACTCTACATATAGTGAATATTTCTCCAGCTGGCTGCAAGCAGGAACAGTAAAAGTGGCACAGCACTGCCCCCAAGTGATATCTCATCTTGCTGTTTCAGTAAAACTTTCCTAAAGTGGAAGTAGTCGAGAATTCTCAACAATGACAGACAGAGGCAATCATTTTTGTTCCCAGATTCTTTTTTATTCAGATTTATTTTTGATGTCATTTACTGCAACAGTCATCAGTCATGTTGCTAGGAAGGCTTTTACAAAATAAATCTGGTCTCAGCATTAGTTTGAAGGCAATGAGAGGCGAAACTAAGCAGGGAAAGGTTGGACAGAACAGTGAAAAAGAGCAAACCAGTAACCAGTCAGTTCAAAGTTTAACTGTAAACATGTAAAGTCACACAAATGTCTTAATCCTGCATTTCTCTGATGATGATCAGAGTTGGTCAGTGACTTGCTCTTATTCGTTATATCAGCTCTCAAATGTCGAGATCTTTCTGCCCGTGTGAGCTACAGGATCTTTCAGAGCAAACTACAGTGCAAAACTTAATACAGATTTTCAAATGCTTTCCATGCTTAGTTTTAACACTCCCACTTAACTTTTGTTTTCCTTTTTTTTCTTATTTTTTGGAAGTCAGTGCAGAAAGAAAATAAGTTTTGCCTTGCTAACTGACCTGGCCTTTGTGTGTTTAAGACCATGCTTACCTTCAGAAACTCCTGTTAAATGTTGTTGAACAGAACAGAATAAAGTTGCCGGTTGAGATATTCAGCCTTGTTGCTGAACATGCTTGACAGTACTGCATAGCACCATAAGAGGGTAGAGATTTAGACCAAATTCAAGAGTTTCTGAAGTAAAAGAGGGAGGACGGCTCTCCTTTTTAAAAGACTTCTTAGTATCTCCTGCCACTAATTGACTGAACTGACGTCTTCGTGATTGTACTGCTGCCACCACCCATAGAAGACCCAGCAGAATAGGAGCTGCTGCTGCTGCCAAATCCAGCTCCGCTACCATAACTGCCATATCCCATGGACGATCCTGGAGCAGAAAACAAACAGCAAGAGTTATCATTTATGCATTCTCTCTGTGTCGTCTGTTGGTTCATGTACCATGTATGATGACCATGTATCAAATCAGAAATCTAGTAGTACCTCCAGAGGTCTGCTGCACGTGGATAGTTGCGGCGTTTCCTGTGGCCAGTCTGATGGTGGAATAATGGTAAGTTAATGCTTTCACACTGAAGCTCATACTGTATCCATGAAACTGTAAATATTTTTCATTTATCCCACCTGCTCTCTTCTCCCTCCAGCAGTTTCCTGTAGGTGGCGATCTCGATGTCCAGGGCCAGCTTGACGTTCATCAGCTCCTGGTATTCACGCACCTGGCGGGCCATGTCCTGCTTGGCTCTCTGCAGAGCGTCCTCCAGGTCCCTGATGCGGAGCTTGGCATCCTTCACTGCCAGCTCACCACGCTCCTCAGCCTCTGCGATCTGAGCCTCCAGGCTGGCCCTCTGTGGAAAGTGTTGCCACAGATTATTTGATAAATGCACGTCTTCATAAACAATAAGATGTCATCCATGAGAAGTTCTTGAAACATACCTGTCCCTTGACAGCCTCAATCTCATTCTGAAGACGGGCAATCATGCGGTTCAGCTCAGCGATCTCACTCTTGGTTGAGCGCAGGTCTTCACCGTACTGTCCAGCAGAGGACTGCATCTCCTCATACTGTTAATAAAAATATAATGTATATTAACAAGAGAATGCAGATGGTTGGGAAAGGTGTTGCTGGTGTCTGTAGAGCAACTGCTTTGCTTTTGACTCACCTTCTGTTTGTACCAGGTCTCTGCTTCTTGCTTGCTGCGGTTGGCAATGTCCTCATACTGAGCACGCACTTCAGCCACAATGGCATCCATGTCGAGGTTACGGCTGTTGTCCATCTCCACAATGACAGAGGTGTCCTTGATCTGGCCCTGCAGCTCACGAAGCTCCTGTAGACCAATATTTGATGCAAAACAGTTAAATCTTTGTCTGGATGATGACCGGTTACTTAAGCGGTATTATGGAAGTTGTTTTTGACATTCGATATTGTACATACAGCCTCATAGACGGCCCTGAGGAAGTTGATCTCATCCTGAAGAGCATCGACCCTGGCCTCCAGTTCCACCTTGTTCATGTATGCGGAATCAACATCCTGCAAACAAGATTATGTAGAGATAATGTGTTATAACTTGTCACATTAAACCCAAGAATTGGGTTTTAAAAAAAGGCTATATTGGTATTTTCTCACCTTCTTCAGGAGCACAAACTCATTCTCAGCAGCTGCACGTTTGTTGATTTCATCCTCATACCTGTTGGAACAAAATATAGCACATTTACCCATGGCCATTTTATGGATCTGCTCACTATATGAAGTGCATCAGCATATGTTGTCATTATAGATTGATACTGACTTCCTCTTGAAGTCCTCAACCAGGCCCTGCATGTTCTTGAGCTCTCCCTCCAGCTTGACCTTCTCGTTGCCCAGCCCATCGAGCTGTCTGCGCAGGTTGGCAATGTAGGCCTCAAACATGCCGTCGATGTTGGAACGGGTGGTGGTCTGATCCTGCAGGAGGCTCCATTTGGTCTCCAGCATCTTGTTCTGCTGCTCCAGGAAACGAACCTGTGGAGACACAAAACAAGAGAAAATTGTCAGATATCAGTCTTAAAGCGTCTTTAAAAAACAACAATTTTTTAAAAAATTTTTTAAGTGTAGTGCAGTTCAAAAAAAAGGATTTAAAGAGTGTTTTAAATGCCTAACCTTGGCTTCATGACTGAGAATACAGCTTCATATCTCTCTGAAGTGCCACACCCATGTCACAACAATTACAGCTCATGAAAGCATTTCTTTGAGTGCCTACTGTTCAAGCAGTTGTAATACTAAAATGTGTCAAATGTAGAATACACATCTTTTCATCACGTATTGCTGAATATTCTGTCCAGATGCTTCACCAACATGTCTACGTGTCCTTAAGTATTTCAACTATTGTGTCTCTTGCTTGGCTATGACTCATCCTATGTGCTCTGTTGAGCTATGAAAGCCACACAGTCTCTTCAGCCATAAAAAAAAAAAAAACTAGGTGTGGCAGATAAACCGCAGAAGACAAAGCAGTGCAGTATTATGAGATGACTACTTTGTTTTGTGTGTCTGCGAGCCAGTTTATAGTATTAAGTCTTCCTCTACATAAAGAAATCCATCTAGTAGCTGGCATCAACGCAGACTGTGTGATTGTTTCATCAGAATCACATAAAAGCCGATTTACAGCTCTGTACTCGGCATTCATGTTACCCATAACAACCAGGTGATAGGTGCAATGTGCAAATGGCAGACTTTGGACTCTGTGGGCATAGTGCAGGCACATCTCTGTTCTCCCAAGTGAGGAATGGGCGAGTCGCTGCAGTATAATTGCCACCCATATTTAGATAGTGGGCAGTGAGGCCTCCACAGGCTCGGACAGGTCTATAAACCCACTGTTATTTAGATTGCGGATGGAGCTGCTGGTGTAAAATCTAATCTATCACGATCCCTGACAGACTTGCGATTTTTTATAAGCTCTCCTAATCCCAGAGGCTGTAACTCATTGGTGAATACACCACTGAGATAAGATTCACAACCTCCTTGCTTTGTCAGCTTTGTCAATAAAAAGAACATGTTTGCATCTAGTGAGAAGTGCTCAGCAGTTTCTTTGAGTGGCTAGAAGCATAGTGCTGTTACTGGGCAAAACACAAATCTTACTACTTGCTCTTAGTTTCTAGTCATTTCTTTTCAAACTGTAGATCAGAATCAGAAATATATGTGATAGCTGCTAGAAGTAAATGTAGCTGTAGTCGTATAAGACAATGAGGCCTACAGTAAATTGAACAAGAGACAGGAAGTGACACAAAGCTCACAGGAACCAACCTTGTCAATGAAGGAGGCGAAACGGTTGTTCAGGGTCTTGATCTGCTCCTTCTCCTGGGTGCGGACAGCCTGGATGGTGGGGTCGATCTCCAGGTTCAGGGGGGCCAGCAGGCTCTGGTTGACCTGGACGGCTGTGATGGATGGTGGTGCAGCGAAACTCATTGCACCCCTGGAGCTCATCATCACTGAACTGCTAGAGGCACCAATGTTACCAAAACCACTACCATAATTGACACCAGTGCCAAAACCACCAAAAGAATGACCACCACCGTAGGTGCTACCACCGCCAAAGGTCTGGCTGACCCTTACAGAGCCCCTGGCCGGGAAGGACTTCAAGCTTGATGAGGATGATCTTGCTGTGAAGGTCTGCTTCATTTTGTTTGCAGGAGTAAGTTTGCCAAATGGCTGAGCAGAAGAGATGTAAAGATGAGCTTCAAAAGGAGAGCCAAGTCCCTCTGAGTGTCTGACTGCACACTCGGCCTGCTTTTATGGCTGTGCCGAGCCTGGGGGAGGATCCTCCTCAGCCACTTCAACCTGTCCTCTCACTTTTGCTGTCCAACCTCCCCTCCGCTTTGGTCTACACGCCTCTGGCTCTGAATGACAGGAGTGGCCGATCCTGTAAAACAGGTAGGGAGGGATTGCCAGGAGATAAGCCGTGACACACCCTGCAACAGGACAGGCTCAAGGGAAAGGGAGAGAAAAGAAAAGAAGTGGAGAGAAAATATGGTCCTGTGTGAAAAAGCCTCTTTATGTGTTCTTAAGTGTATTTGGATTCATTTTACATAATTTCACACTGGGGTCAGAGATGAAAGACATAAACTCATACATAAAAAGCAGAAATATGCATGTCATTACACAGAAACTAAACTAATCATCTATTCTCAAGATGCAAAAAAGGGATTTCTGCACCAAATAAACACATCTCTAAAGTACAAGTTGTGCAGTTTTTCATAGAATTAAGTGACACATCAATTATTCACTTTGTTAAATCTGCGCAAAAATTTAATACATTTCTTTAAGTAGGTCTGATATATAGGTACATGTATGCTGAAAAACAATGATGTGAATCAGTTTTTCACCTTTTTATTTCCAAGTTATGCTGCTTTGTCCTTTTCCTTATTCAGAGGGAAATGAGGTTATGCTTGTTGGAATTAACATGATAGCTGCTGGCTACCTTTCAGACTGAAGTTTAAACCAATTCATATATTACAAAGTTTTGTTCTAACATTAGCCACAAAGTAGGTATAGTTGTCTGAATGCTGCTTAAGTTTGTGGCCTTGTCTCATATGCAAAACAATACACAAGAATCCCAAGTAGATATTTAGCCACCCGTGGTCCTGCTTGCTTTTAGCTTTTCTAGTGAGACGATGGTGTGAAAATAAGAAAAATTCAAAGTAGTTTACCTACATTTTTGCAAGGAGGAGAAGTTCACAAGGCTATAGCTGCTCATTTATTACAACTATCCACATTGTGTTTTATCCCTAATGACAAATTATAACGGTTACATTAAACACTGTGAGGTCAAAACTCGGTTAAAGAAGTTGCAAGAAAGGCAATATGTTCTTGATTAACTGTTTAATACTTTCAGTAGTGATGTGGTCAGTTCCACGTGTCAGATTCTAACAGTCCTCCCAAAACACTCTGTATCTTAGCAATGACCACTCACATGCTGCTTGCTACTTATTCACTTGTTGACCCTTGTTGTGCATTTTAGAGAACAACCTGCAATACTAGGCAACAATGTTAAACTGAGATGCATTGCCAGACATTTCAATATACACCAGTCAGTACTACAGCATTTAAATGCTCTGAACTAAATGTTCATGGATGTCAGAAACAAACATTTTTCTATCCTGAGCTCCTCTTTATAACTTTTTACTGGGGTATCAGGATATAACATCATATCTTGCTTTGGCACTGAATAGTTTTTAGCATTTGAGAGAAGTATTATTACACTCTTCCTTTGAAAAGTTGTTGCTCGCCCGCTACAGTCTGATCTGGTAAATACGCTCAAGTGAATTTGACTGCTTTGCATTTGGCACACTGCAGCTACTGTGGATCTTGCCACATATGTTAATCTTGTGTTTTCGGTTAAAAAATTTAGGTAGTCTTGTTTTTGTATAAATGGATCATGTTACGCTGTCTAACAAACATCCTTTGACTTAATTCAAGTAAATGGCCACTTGCCTTGTCTTAATAAGCAAATTTGTCTTCATTTGAATGATTTTTTTTTTTAACTAGATACAAGTGACATGTCCACCTGTAACCTTTTATTTAGGCTTAACAAGATTGCTTGTGATGAATCTTTTGATCCCAGCTCAAGATTTTTAGCTTTAAATTTGACAGGGGATTTTTGCAGGGTGTGATCCCATAACTGTCATTTGTAGCTGCATTGGTCATATTTCAGAAAAAAAAGGTTACTTTAAGCGCTTACTAATGCTCCTCCTGAAGACAGCCGTTAGATTTTTTTTTAAATTTGCCTCATCTTTACAGATTTTCTTTTTGTTTCTAGCAGGACGAGTTCATCTTAACGTCATGTCCAGAAAAGTCTTCAACAATCATCTCATCCTCTGCCATTCTATATACTTTTGGACTGGTTCATGCACACGATTTGGCTGCCCTCGCTTTCTGGGCTGTTAGCGTGATGGAGCTCCAAGCCAGAAGCAGCTTGCTGATCAGTCTGCCAGCTCAATCCACAGCACAGCCGACAAAATATTGGTCCAAACTTGAAAGGGTGCTTAAGACAGTGTTGTATTGGTCCAGATCAATACTTGATTACCGTACATACTACAAAAAAAAATCCAGTGGCGTTGCCTCATGTTATCACCTAATAAACTTGGACTCATTCCAAACCTTTAGGCATTTACGCATGATCTCTCCAAATGAAAGTAAATAAACAGTTTTTACAACAGTCTTTTTAAACATGCATCAGGCTGGGCTTGTTTTTCAATAAATATACGTTCACATTTGAACATTCAACTGCCATGTTTTGCATATTGAACTGATGAAATCTAGACATCTTAAGCCGTCTGCATTAGTAGTAATAAAGACAACTAAAGAGAGTCAAGCATGGATTATTTCAAACAAAGCACTAAACTATGAGAATAAAGTATTATTAAAGGATATCAAAATGCCTTAGGCAGAGTCGTCTCATTAAAAACTTGTTACACTAGAGAGCAAAAAAAAAAAAAAAAACAGTCTAATGCTGCCAAATAGTTGCCTCATAAAAATGATATGCTTCAGGCTTCCAGTGTAAGGCATTTCTTTGGTCCCTAACTTCGAAGGAAAATAATCTTGTGCGTCTATCAGTGAAAAACATTCCAGTTTTAGTTGTTGTTTTCCTACCTGATACACTTCACCACACCCATTTTGTCAAACACTCAAAACACTAATGCAGCTTTTTCTCCCCTCTGCACCTTTGGTGGAGGTGAGGCCTGCATTCTTTTTCATTCTTCCCCAACTTTTCACATGCACATGCCTTTAATTTCTACCATGGTGTGGAACTTTACCCTAAAGCTCAAATCTCTGCTGTCCAGCAGCTATCTGGAGAAAATTGATGTTGTTGGCCCTTCTTTCTAACCAAGTTTGAAAAGCTCCACTGTGATCAATCTGAAACATTGTGTGACCAATAACCAGACATGCATGCAGATATCTGAGTTTCTTACAGCTTTTACTCACACTGTGTCAAATTTAACAGGACTACTCATTGAGTATACTGAAGTGCCACAAGAAACTAGTAAATCAGACCAGACAATAATGATGGATAGGCACAGTGAGGCAGTGGCACCTGGTTTGAGCAGGTTTTCTGTTAGTGAGAATTTTCATGAAAATATAATTCAGTCAAGCACCAACAACGAAAATCCAAAGAAAACCTTGTTGCTGATTTAGGAAGAAGATGACAGTCGTTAAAAGCCTTGTCTGTGCTTGTCTGTGGAAATGTCATCGACCACGGCTGTCATAATTTAGGAACTCATGCCTGGTCAAGTCCGACTAATATGGAGCAACTCAACATACCTCCAGCACCATGTCGAGGTTCATGTTACCAAGACGTGTAACAGGGGGACATGCATGTATTTGCAGAGGTTTATAAATCCTGAGCAATAATTTAAAATGTGACCTTGTGTGTCAGTAGGCGGGGCGAGGTGAGGGGTTATAAGTTCGTGCAGTGTGAAACAATGCTGCGTCCATCTGTTAATGTGTTTGCATTATTTCTTATGGGGCTGTGAATTGTCCTAAAGCGGTTGTCTGGAGTGCAAAAAGAAAAAGAGAAAAAATATTTGCCTCATCATGGTCTTAGCTGATATGATACACAAATATGTGCAAAATCAGCTGGTTTTTCTAAAAACACATGTAAGCAAAGACAAAAATAATATTTCTGTCAATCCAATCACAGAAGGTTCTCTGAAAACGTCATAAAGGGACGAAAACATCAGTTTCTAACTTACGTATGGCACAATAAATGCATACTGCTTTTTGTTTTCTTTCTTTTTAAGTACTGGTTTCTGATCATTTTCTATTTTATTTACTGATTTAATGTGCATAATTTAAACAGCAATAAGTAAGTGCACAGGTACATATTTGCACCCTGAACAACAACTTTCCCCAAGGAGACAAGCTTAAAGAATGCTTTTTAAAGGTAATAAATGACAGCGTGTCCTCCTCCACCTATGGCCCTGACATTCCCCATTCTTTGCTCTCCACTGCTTCTCCACCCACTCTTGACTAACTTCCTTATACCCGCCTCTTTGAAGTAACAAATCAAATCAGAAATAGCTCTGCTAGTTATGTTTAATGCGAACTCATTAACGGCGTCATTAGTTGCAAACCTGTCAGCTGGACCAGGTGTTAGAATGCAGGTTGTGGTTGAATGTAGGTGCCAAAACTGAAATGTTCCACAGAAATGGTAGCTTGTTTCATGAACAGGTTTCATTGGAATGGAAACGTTTTAGAAAACCTACTACCAGACAATCTGAGTAATCTAAGTCGCAAAGTTTAACCTTCTTTGTAGACTTTTCTTTTGTATCTCCGCAGTATGTGTAAACTGGGTGTGGTCACTTTACAATGTCTGAGGTGTGGTCTGACTGGCTTTCCCTCTTTAATATGAATATCTGTATGAGTAGCAATGCAAAAAACAGAAATTGAAAAAGTCCGATTGAAAGGCAGAGTTTGCAATGTGAATAAAAGCCATTTTCAGTCTGTAAATGGATCAGGAACATCTTCCTTGTGTATTTTATGAATTGTGCTGTCGGTGATTTGAGGCGACACAGCAGACTGTGTTCCTGTCAGTGTACAGAAACAAACTGCAGGTTTACGTTCAAGCTTGAGGAAGTCTGCATGAAAAGTCAGTTCAGGTGAATACATGGAGGTGCAACAATCACTTCTATGACTGTGTTGCAGTATTCATTTTATGTATGTCATATGCAGTGTGGCAAAATTACAAGGATGTTCTGCTACA